GGAAGCTGGGTCAGCCGTGGCGTAGCCTGAGCTTGAACAGCTCTGTGATGTGGGACGTGGCATCCCAGCAGTGGCTCAGTCTCTGTGCCTGCTGGGCCTTTTCATCTTGGGGTGTCAGTTAGAATTTCCTGCGGGAGCTGGAAGGAAGAATGAGGTTCCTAGCTGTCTCTGCAGGGCCTTGGCTTCCCCTGGAAGTCAGTGTGTGTGTGTGGGGGGAGGGTACCAGGTTGGAAGATGTGTGTCTTGTTGATTTGGGTTTGGCACATCAGCTCTGCGTGTCACAGGAGGACTTGGGGCTCAAGTGCAGCTCTGCCACTCACTGGCCGTGTTGTCTAGAGCAGACATCCATCCTCTGTCCGTATGCGGGCTCGCCGTGCCGTCTCGGCCTGCGTGAGCTGGCCGACTGGTGGGGTCCGTCCCAGGCTCCGGGCCGCGAGTGAGCCGCGTGGTTCGTGCAGAGTGCTCAGCTGTGCGGCACCACCCTGCCCACGACAGCAGCCTGTGGCCCAGCCCCCTCTCCGTTCCCGAAGCTTTGGTGCCAGTCCCAGGCACCGTAAGTAGGTCTTAGGGGAGGAGACAGGAGGAAGTTGTAGGATTCAGGCCAAGGGCAGGAGTGGGGGGTCCATGACCGCCAGGGGAGCAGAGTAGAGAGCAGAAATGGCCACGCGGACGTGCCCAGGGGCTTATTGCCGAAGCGCTGGAGCAGTGGAGTGGAGTGGAAGAAGGGGGGCCCTCGGGCAGCCAGACGTGGCGTGCAGGGGAGGAGGGCACCTCCTACGCCCTCACACTTGGTATGAAAAGGAACTGCTAGGCCGGCGCCGCGGCTCACTAGGCTAATCCTCCGCCTGCGGCGCCGGCACACCGGGTTCTAGTCCTGGTCGGGGCACCAGATTCTGTCCCGGTTGTTCCTCTTCCAGGCCAGCTCTCTGCTGTGGCCCGGGAGTGCAGTGGAGGATGGCCCATGGGAGACCAGGATAAGCACCTGGCTCCTGCCGTTGGATCAGCGGCCATTGGAGGGTGAACCAACTGCAAAAGGAAGACCTTTCTCTCTGTCCTCTCTTTCTTTTCTTTTATTTATTTATTTATTTATTTATTTATTTTTTTATTTTTGACAGGCAGAGTGGACAGTGAGAGAGAGAGAGAGAGAGAGAGAGACAGAGAGAGAAAGGTCTTCCCTTGCCGTTGGTTCACCCTCCAATGGCCGCCGCTGCAGCCGGCGCACCGCGCTGATCCGATGGCAGGAGCCAGGATCCAGGTGCTTTTCCTGGTCTCCCATGGGGTGCAGGGCCCAAGCACCTGGGCCATCCTCCACTGCACTCCCTGGCCACAGCAGAGAGCTGGCCTGGAAGAGGGGCAACCGGGACAGAATCTGGCGCCCCGACCGGGACTAGAACCCGGTGTGCCGGCGCCGCTAGGCGGAGGATTAGCCTATTGAGCCACGCCGCCGGCCAATGTCCTCTCTTTCTCTCTCTCTCACTGTCCACTCTGCCTGTCAAAAAAAAAAAAAAAAAGGAACTGCCAACAAATCACAGATCTGTGAGGCGGCTGGTGAGCTGAACCCATGAGGGAGGGGTGAAGAGGACAGGGAGACCACGCCGGCAGCCACGCGTCTGACGTGGGCAGGCTGGGCACCACAGCACCTCACAGCTCAGCAGCACGAAATAACCCAGTTTCTGCGTGCCTGAGAAGTAGTGAGCAGACGTTTTGCCCGGGAGGGGATGGGCTGGCCAGTGCGGGCGTGAGCAGGTGCGCCACCCCAGGCGCGTCCACAATGAGGCGCCACCGCATGCCTGCCGGAAAGGCAGAGGTAAAGCAGGCAGCACCAGTGCCGCTGACGACATGGGGAGGCCGGGGCTCTGGCCAGCACTCGCCCTCATGGAGACATGTGTCCACGTGCAAGCCCGTCCACGGGTGTCCCTGGCAACCGTATCTGGGCAGCCAGATGTCCTTTAGCAGGTCCGTGCTGCAGTGGACCACCGAGGGAGGAGGGCACGCTGCAGCTGTCCCCCACTCGATGTCACCTGGCTGGCGCTTGTGCAGTGGCGAGACTGTCCAGGTGGACAGGGCCTGGGCAGGCGTGTTAGCTCCACAGAGCTCCTTGGTGCTGACGGCTGCTCCTGTCTTGGTGTGTGGGGGTCCCAGCTGCATACAGCTGCACACAGTAGGCACACTCAGCATAGACGGAGGTGGAATCTGGGTAGGGCCTGCACGTGCCGTCCTGCTGTTGCCATGGCGCCCCAGGTACCGAGGCTGTCACCATCGGGGGATGCCCGAGAGGTCCACAGGGCTCTGTTCTCGTGACTTCCTGTGAGTAGTTATTTCAGCATGCATGAGTCAGGTTCAGCTGGAGAATCGGAACCAGCCAGAGGAAGAGAGGGGAGCCCTGACGGAGTTGATTCCCTTATTCCGGAACTGGCTCCTGCGCTGTGGGTGGGTGGGGGAGGGGAGCTGTCAGGAAGCCTGAGACCCCGTGGCAGCAGCAGTTTGGATTCTCTGAGTCCTGGGAAGCCCAGACCCCTGAAAGGGCCCCCTCAGAGACCAGGGCCGCCTGGTGACGTCCCTTGGAGAGCTCAGAGTGCTCTCAGGAGGCTCTGTTCCACCTGTAGCGCTCCTTCCTCCTCGCCGCAGTTCAGGGCTCCATCTCCCTGGGGAGCAGGGCTCAGAGCCAGGCAAGTGCCCAGCCCAGAAAGGCATCCTAGGGTGACAAGTAGGGCGTCCCTGGGCTGTGGACAGACAGAGGCAGCTCCTTTGGGAAACCCAGGGAGACGGGAGTGAGAGCTGCCTGTAGTTTGCATCCCAGGTTTTGACAGTCCTTGCTGTACGTGTGACAGACATGTTTCCATTTGTTTGTTTTTTGCTACTTAGTATTACTCAAGGGAACAGGCAGTTGGTCTAGTGGTTAAGGCGTCCGAGTTCAGATTACGTGGGTTTGGTTCCCAGTCCTGGCTCCTGAGCCAGCTTCCTGCTAAGGCAGGGCCTGGAAAGCCTGGATTGAGTTCTACGCTCCCCGCGTCAGCCCTAGCCCAGCGTTGGCTGTGGTGGGCATTTGGTGAGTGAAGCAGTGGATGGCAACTCTCTCTGCCTCAGTGTGTGTGCGTGTGTGCGCGTGCTCGCTCTCTCTGCTTCTCAAACAAATTTTAACAAATTATTGTGGGCTTTTCCATTTCATTTCCTTCACAAAAGCCTCACCCTGCGGCTGCGGCTGCTGCTGCAGAAGCACGGAGCTAAATCCTGGTGGCACAGGTTCTGTCCTGAGAATAGGCGTCGGGGTCAGGACTCTGCTGCTGTGAGTCGGTGCCGCGGTGATGCGTGTGCAAGGAGCAAAGCACGTGAGCACACTGCCTGCGTGGGGCAGCCGGCCTGGGAGTGCACTGCCCACGTGGGGCAGCTGGCCTGTGAGCCCGTGAGACACTGCCTGCGTGGGGCAGCCAGCCTGGGAGCGCGTGGGCGCACTGCCCACGTTGGGCAGCTAGCCTGTGAGCCCGTGAGACACTGCCCTCGTGGGACAGCCGGCCTGGGAGTGCACTGCCCACGTGGGGCAGCTGGCCTGTGAGCCCGTGAGACACTGCCCGTGTGGGGCAGCCAGCCTGGGAGCGCGTGGGCGCACTGCCCACGATGGGCAGCTGGCCTGTGAGCCCGTGAGACACTGCCCGCGTGGGACAGCCGGCCTGGGAGCGCATGGGCGCACTGCCCGCATGGGACAGCCGGCCTGTGAGCGCGTGGCCCCAGGGGAGGAGGGGCGTTGGCCTCAGGCTTTGGCTCTTACAGTTCTAAGCATTGAGAAACTTGGGTCACATAGTAAATCCGTGGCAAGGGGACGGTGTGTGCCCGGTGCTCAGGCTACCCGGGGCAGACTGGAGGCAGAGCTCAAGTGGGAAAAGGCTTTGTCTGGGGAAGCAGTACGCCGCGGGCTCTCGGGAAGTCACTTCCAGGGGGCGGGGCCTGCGGGAGGTCCTCAGACCCTGTGAGGCCTCAGGTGCCCCGGGGGTGCGTCATCCCAGCTGGAAACCACTTGTGTCAGGGTGCGAGTCCCTCAGTTTTAAGTCTGTCAGCTGAGGGCCACATGCCGACTCCGCTCCACAGTCAGGGTCCCGGTGGCTCATGGGGAGGTTGTGGGGGAGGATCCTGGGGACCCTGGCCCCCACCAACACGCCTCTGGGAGAATGCCAGCCTCCTAGGAACCACTTCGGTCTGGTGCTCTGTGTCTGAGACGCCGTGTCGCTAAGTGACCAGAAACCACGCCCAGAAGTGCTGGGTGGCGGCAAACACCTGGCCCATGCAGAATCTTCTGGCTGTGGTTCCCCCGGGGTGACCAGCAAACACACGGGCTGTGGCACGGCTGGGTTTCCACAGTGCACGTCCCGGGAAGGCAGGTTTTCCGCAGATCGGCTTTCTGGAGCGTGGAATCCAAGGATGATGGTGTTTTACTCCCAGGAAGTGTTCCTTTGTGCTACAAGTGCCTGTTCTTCTTGCTCCCAGCACCCACAATTTAGAAATTTCTGGGACCACAGAGCACTGAGGGTTACAAAAATTAACTGCAGGAAATGGGGTCTGTGCGGTGGGTGCTGCTCTGTCAGCTCCCCCTGTCGTAGCCCCTGTGCTCCCGCGGGCCCACCTCAGGCGCCGTGTGTTCCCCGGGAGGATCGCTGAGGCTGTGTCACACGCGTGTGTGCAGGCAGGAGCGTGCAGATCTGCCCGGGGGACGAGGAGCGATGTTCACCACTGCTCTGACAGACTGAGCCGCGCGTGGCCTGCCTGTGACAGCCCAGCCTCTGCTCCACGCGGGCTGTGATAGCCTCAGCTCGACTGGGAGCCCCCAGGGAAGTCCAGCTCCCCAGAGCGTCCCCGTCCTCGCCACCCCGGTCTCGCCTGGTGTCGGTTCCCTCACTGCCTTCGTGCAGGTCGGGGGAGTGGACTGTGTTGAATTGCTCGCATGTGCTCTTAAAGTGAATGTTGCTGTGTTAAGGTCTTCTTTTCTTTGTGATTCTTTTGTTCCGTAGCGCCGTCCCCCAGACTACAGTAATACTCAACAGTGACCGGCAGAACGCCATTGTAGCCAAGATGGAAGACCCCTTGAGCAACAGGGCGCCGGACCCCCTGGAAAATGTCGTTAGCAAGTCAGTAGCCACGGCACCCCCACCTTCCCCCACTGAGACGAAGACAGTGTCCCCAGCCAGGGCACTGTCCCCGCACGTGGTCCATGGTGGTGGCGGTCGGGGAGGGCCAGTGCAGCACCCAGGGCAGCTGGCGAGGCCGAGGGCCGTGTCCTGATCCACCGCGGTGCAGAGGGCAGGCTGGCCGGGGCCCCTGTGCTGGTGCAGACGTGTGTGAGGGAGGGAAGTCGCTGTGCATCCCCGCTCAGGGAAGGCGTCTGTACTCCCGCCCGCGTGCCAGGTCCCCTGGGTGTCTCCTCTCACATCTGCCGGTGACGCAGACCTTTGCAGGCGGTCAGTTTTTTCTCACACCTTTTTCTTTTGAGGCATTTTGGGTGGACTCTGGTCAGAAGTGGGAGTGGACAGACGTCGCTGTCCCTGTGTGTGGAGTGAAGGCCCTGCAGGAGGCCCTGTGCCAGCATCCCGGTTCGGGCGTCCCCCGTCCCGGGCCCCTGCCAGGGCTCTGCCGCTTTGGTTCCCCGTTGGCCCACTTTCTCTCAGGCTCGTGTGCAGATGGGTCCTCCTCCAGCTTTGTCCCGTTTCTCGTTGTCGTAGCCTCTCTGGGCGAGCACCGCAGGGGCCTGATATGGGGGTGAGAGGCAGGAAGGAGCCAGTCTGCTGGTGGAGGCTCACTCGGAGGGGCACCCGAGTGGCAGGGGGAGTTCAGCCGGGCAGTTCTCGGGGAGGCAGGTGCAGAGAGTGCAAGGGCAGCGGCTCCCCGGCGGCCGGAGCTGCGCACAGTTCGACGGCAGGCAGGGAGACGTGTCTGCTGTGCCGGATCTCGGTGCTTCGTGGCCCACGGGGGCTGTTGGGAGGGCCCTCTGCAGGCCTCCAGACGGCCCTTTGGTTTTCTTTGGTGAGCACGTTCAGAAGCTGCCCTGGTGAAGAGGCAGCCCTGTGAGTTCTCTGGATCTCTGGCCCCTGCAGTGGACTTTGCTGGTGCGAGTGACGGGGGTGAGGTTGCTTTTCGGAGGCTCAGCCGTCTCTGGGTGTCTCAGGTGCGGCCTGTGCTCCCCGGGGCCCGTGGTGTGCTTCCTCGGCCTGCAGCCTTCCCTTTGGTGCACCCATAAAAAATGCGCAGATGCTCTCGCTCAAGTTCCGCCCACTGACAGGATGGCCTCTGACAGCACGTGCTAGGCCAAGTCACAGTGAGTTGTGGTTTTCTTTCTTTTGTGCTGAAAGTAGCTTCGTCCTACCTTCGTTTCCTTTTGTCTGATTTCCGTTAAGCCCAGGCTGTCCTCTCCCGTTAGATGGCCACCTTAACTTTGTAGGAAGAGCAGTGCGGTCCAGACTCAGTTAGCGCCGTGCTAGGCCAGGACCCACGCCTGGCAGTGAGCAGAGCTGACCCCTGCTTGCCTGGTCCTGCCCCTCTCACAGCACTGGCTGGCGTGTTTGTTCCCACAGCGCAGTCCCTGGGCGTCGGCAGAACACCATCGTGGTGAAGGTGCCGGGTCAAGACGACAGCCACAATGAGGACGGGGAGAGTGGGTCGGAGGCCAGCGACTCTGTGTCCACCTGCGGCCAGCCGGGGGGTCAGAGCATCGGGAACAACGTCACCCTGATCACCTTGAACTCGGAAGGTGGGTGCCCATCAGCCAAGACAGTCGGGGTGAGGGACAGCTTGACTTCTGCTTTTAGAAACGTAACACAGAGGATGGAGGTGATGGAATGACTGTAACCCCCGTTGCGAGGCCTCCAGCCTCCTGGGCTTGTTCTGTGTTGACACATGTGCCTCACTGTCCCCACTGCAGAGAAGAAACCTCTCCACGTAGTGCAGGTTTCTGTAGTGTTCTTCAGTTTGTTTGGCCTGTTGGCTCAAGCTCTGGGTGCTTCCTGAGGACGGGCAGCAGAGCCCTGGGCTGTCCTCACCAGCATTCAGCGTCTGCGAGCTGTGTCGCTGATCTGAGGGACAGATCTGGGCTGGGTTCCTGGCATCAGTCGTCCTGCAGCTTCTGACCAGTAGCTGGAAGGCAGGGGTGGGACTTCGTCTGACTCCCGTTCTCTCCAGCGAGGGCTGCGGTGTCCTCCTGCCTGGCCTTGGGTGGCCAGGGCCTTTGAGAGGCCTCACGCCACGTGGGGCCTTCGTGTGGCTCTGTTAAGGGGCTTAGCTACGGTAACCGGGTTACTGCAGCATGGCAGGAGAGGAAAGGCTGGAGTTCTGAAGTCTGCCTGTGGCTAGCTGGTGAGACCTGTGGGCGTTGTGCCCCCCTCCGTGAGCCGCTGCTTCTTCCAAAAGCACAGTACAGGGCTTTATTACTTTTTTGAAAGAGTTATTTATTTATTTGAAAGGCAGAGTTACAGAGAGTCAGGGAGAGAGAGGTCTTCCACCCGCTGGTTCACTCCCCCAGACGGCTGCGACAGTTGGAGTTGCGCCCATCTGAAGCCAGGAGCCAGGGCCTTCTTCCAGATCTCCCACGTGGGTGCAGGGGGCCAAGGACTTGGGCCATCCTCCACTGCTGTCCCAGGTCATAGCAGAGATTGGATCAGAAGTGGAGTGGCCGGGCCTCAAACTGGTGCCCACCTGGGATGCTGGCATTGCAGGCGGCAGCTTTACCTGCTGCTCCACAGTGCCAGCCCCGCAGGGTTTTCTGTTGAGCAGAATGTTTTTCTTCTGGAAAGACTCGTCCCGGGGTGGGGGGGGGAGGAAAGTCTCCCAACCCAAAAGGCGCCTTAACCACTCGGCCCAGCACTGGCCTGGAAGTAGCCACTGTAGAGCATTCATTCCATGGTTTCTAGTCAGTTCGCAGGGCTTTGCAGTTGTCTCGTCCATGTAGTTCTGGATTGGTCATTGCCTCCAGAGAAACCCGGGCGCTTCAGTTGGCACTTTGTGTCCTGTGCTTGGCCGTAGTCTGTTGGACAGAGGCTGTGAGCGAGGGCCGCGCTAGTGGGCAGCAGGTGTGTCGGTGCCGTCATGTTCCTTCCTGGCTTCCAGGACACAGATTGTTTTCTTGTGTGAGTATTGAAGTGCCTGCATTTTCAGAGAACCGCAACAGCTGGGGCTGGTCCAGGCCAAAGCCAGGAGCTCAGAGCTGCATGCGGTCCCCTGCCCCCCCCCCCCCCCCCCCCCCCGCCCCCTGAGCCGCCCTGTGACCTGGGGAAGCATCCGTGCCTTCCAGACCGTGCAGGTCGTCTGAGACGTGAGCTGTCTTGGACCTCACGGAGGCAGTGCTCACTGGGCTGTTTGGTGGTGGTCTGTTCCCCGGCCCTGCGGGCTAGGAACGCCCCGTCTGAGCAGCCTGCTGCGTCTCAGTGGACGCTGGCTTTGTGTTGCTGCCATGTGAACGCCCCTGCTTACTGCTTCCGAGATCCACAGAACATCTTAGTGAAGCGAGCTGTCTCACTGCGATTCTGATCACGTTTGATAGTGGGGAGAGGGCAGACAGGACAGCGACCCACACGGTTTCAGCTGTGGCCTCGGGGTGCTGAGCAGGATCTGACTAGGGGGCTCCCCACGGCTTCCGTTGCTCTCGGCCACCAGGGCACTGAGCTGCATGGCCCCAGCGCAGGCACAGCCGCCCGGGGCACAGACCCTGCCCTGGCACAGACCCTGCCCCGGCACAGCCGCCCTGGGGCACAGACCCTGCCCTGGTTGGTGGTTAAGCAGCCTTTCCACTTTAAGGCATACTTGAGTGTTTACTGGCAAAATCTTTCTGATAGGATTGCTGATCTAAGAACCCTGTACCAGAAACTGTCTCAAGAGAAACAGTGGATTGAGTAATTTCTCAGGCGCTGTCTCTGATTTGTCATCTGTGGAATGACGGTGTGAGATTTCTGGAATTCTCACGTTCTGTGTCGGGTGCTTGTGTCATCTTTGTTTGTGTTGAAAGAGGCCCCGCTGGGAGGCTGCTCGGTTCCCAGGGTTGTCGTCCAGGCAGGGGCCTTCCATCTGCCCCCTCCCCCATCCCAGACATCCATGAGATGGCCACTGCTCCACGGTAGGTGGTAGGGACGAAGGTTTTATAATTCACTCCTTCAGGCCGGCGCCGCGGCTCACTAGGCTAATCCTCCGCCTAGCGGCGCCGGCACACCGGGTTCTAGTCCCGGTCGGGGCGCCGGATTCTGTCCCGGTTGTCCCTCTTCCAAGCCAGCCCTCTGCTGTGGCCAGGGAGTGCAGTGGAGGATGGCCCAGGTGCTTGGGCCCTGCACCCCATGGGAGACCAGGAAAAGCACCTGGCTCCTGGCTCCTGCCATCGGATCAGCGCGGTGCGCCGGCCGCAGCGCGCCGGCCGCGGCGGCCATTGGAGGGTGAACCAACGGCAAAAGGAAGACCTTTCTCTCTGTCTCTCTCTCTCACTGTCCACTCTGCCTGTCAAAAATAAAAAAAATAAAATAAAATAAAATAAAATAAAAAAAAAATAATTCACTCCTTCCTCCTCCTCTCCTTCCTTCCTTCCACCAAGACCTGAACGCAGCAGTTACATGTGGAAGATGGGTGACCCAAGCTGTGTCTCAGCAGCTCGGCCAAGCGCTGCCACCACGGCCCTCCCACCCCCTGCCCCGCCAAGGCAGGTTCTTTCGGGGTGTCTATAGTGGCGTCACACTAGCAGATGCCAGAGACAGCCTGCTGGGACACATGTGGCTTTATGTGCACTGAGTTCTGAGCCCCGTTCAGTTGCGGCAGCGTAATGATGCCGGGAGTCCTGTATCAGCCATGGAGTTCTCACACTCTGCCACGGGTGGGGGAGCGACTCACTGCTGTTAGGATTCCATGGGCGCACCTTGAGCCGGGAGCCCTGTGATCGCCAGCTTGCGCGGTGGCGGGGTGCTGGCCTTTGAGCTCCCGGCTTGTGGGTTCTGCGTGGACTTACTCTTTGGGACGGTCCGTTGTTGGAGCTGTTTCTCCCATTGTGTGTGTGCGGCCTCTGTGAGTCACGGAGAGCTTGGGCAGGGCTTTACAGAAGCCAGATGAAAGTTAGCGTTAGCATGGGTGGACGAAGTAAGCTGAGCCGGCTCATGAGCCCGACTGTTCCTGAACGCTGGCCTGGAAGGCAGCTAAGTTGAAGTGAGGGTTGCTGTTGCGCGCAGTCTCTGGACGGCAGAGTGTTGCTTTCTTTGGAGATGGAAGTGCGTCGTCAGTCGTTCCACGGCGGCCGTGTTTGGAGTGCGTGGAGTCTCAGGCATAGCCTGGGAGGGTGGCAGGTGGAATGTGGGAGGCGGGCAGCATGGTGGGAGCTGGGAGTGTGTCACGGCCGGAAGGTGGGACCCCAGACACTGAGATGCTGGCCTAGTCGCTGGGGGTGGGGCTTCCTGTCTCTGGGAAGGCCCCAGGAGGTGCGTTCCATTGGATTGGGGTGAGGTGGTGCTTGGAGCACTGGGGATTTCTGGTCGGTCCATCCCTGGCCTCTTGCCGCCATGGTGCCCAAGTTGTGTCTGGCCGCCTCTTCAGCTGCCCTGGGATTGGGCTGCCTGCCGTGGAGGAGCAGGGAGGCAGTGTCCCGGCTGCTCGGCCGCCCTGTGTCTCCCCGGAGGAGAGCAGCCCCGAGTCAGGCCGTGCAGGCCAGCGTGAGGCAGGGACGAGGATGGACTGTGGTGCTGTCTGTGCCTCTGATGGTGACACTTGGCCAAGGGCCCGGGCCCAGGGAGCCCCGTGGAGCATGCTTGTCCTCTGTCCTCTCTGGAGGAGGAAGCCTGGAGCCAGGCCGCTGGCCAGTGCCACCCTCTCAGCTCTGGGCTTTCTCCGGTCCTCCTCGGGAGCCCGCACAGCAGGCAGGCGCGCTTTGCGGCACGGACGTGCACTGGCTGCCAGAGGTGTCGCCTGCACCTGCCGTGTTCCAGTCGCAGTGCTGTGGGCCTTAGGTGGCTGGACGAGGGAGCACGTTTATTTTTCTAGTAATTGACTTGTACTCTCACAGAAAGCGACTATTCCTGTTGCTTCAGGTGCCCAAATCAGACCAGTGTGTGTCGGTAAGGTGTCATTTCGAATTACCGAAAGGTGGTTTCTCAAATATTGCTGGAGGCTGGTGCTCAGCCTTGTTTCACGTGTCCATGACGTGTTCTGTTGTCCCCAGCGTGAAGCAGAGTTCAGGAGAGGGCAGAGGTGAGGCAGGGCGAGCATTCCCAGGGGATGGCAGCCTCAGGGAGGCGGGTTTGGCTGTGCCTCGTGGGGATGCGGTGGAGCCCTGGTCCCCTGCCGCTGCACGCTTCCCTGCTCCTGGGGCAGCAACCTGTCACCCTTGCAGTCAGTCACCGTGGCCTGTGGGCCTCGTCCACCTCGTCCACCTGACCACATCCCTGCTGTTCACAGGACGAGGAGGGGGTCGGCTCTCCCTGGGGAGGAGCGCGTGGTAGGAAGCAGGCAGGCGAGAGTTCGTGCTGGTGGTCTCGGTCGGTCCCTTCCAACAGGACCCAGTGAGTCCCTGCCCTCTGGCTGCCGTGCAGTGCTCACTGTCACTTCAGTCCCCCGCTCCCGTGTAGGGAATTGTGAGCACGCGGAGAGCTGAGGGGTCAGCACATTGCATCAGGAGTCGCTCATAGACCACCCCTTTCATGTTCTTCAAATATTGAGGTTCATCTACTAGAAGGAAGAGTTATACATACACACACAGAGAGACAAATCAGTCTTCCGTCCACTGGTTCACCCCCCAAGTGTCCACGATGCCAGGGCTGGACCAGGCTGAGCCCAGGAGCCAGGCGCTCCATCCAGGCCTCCCATGCAGGGCACAGCAGTGCCGTTCTCCAGGGAGCTGGAGCCCCAGTGGCGCGGCTGGCACTGCACTGCACTGCACTGGGCACGTGAGGTCCCCAGCATTGATCTGGCCCAGCGCACCGTAGCGTCCCTCCCAAGAACACCCCCCCCCCCCCCCTTCCAGCAGCTTTTTAGGAGGAGACGTTGGAAATGCCCGGATCACTCCAGCAGGAGGAAGCTGTCCTGGTTGCACGCTTGCTTTGGATCCACGCTCTGCCCTTGCTTGCCCTGTGACCTGGATCGACAGTGCGGTCGCCTCTTGTGTGTGAGGGCCCGCTGAGGACCAGCGCACCAGGGCTGTGGTGTGGGGAGCTGCGAGTTCATCCTGCCTGGGGCTGTGGGGCTGTGGGCACAGAGCTGTGCCTTCCTCTGCCCTGAGCCCAGCAGAGCTCAGCAGCCTTAGTACCCAGCAGGCCCACCTGGACACGCGCCATCTCCATCCTCTGAGCAGGGCGGGTTTGTGCGCCACGACTCTGCCAGCACAGGCCAGCAAGCACCAGAGTGCTCTTGGCTGCACCTCCTAGCCTTTGGCTTGTGGGGTGGAGCTGGACCTGAGAACTCGCATTTCTAGAAAGTACCCCATTTCCTGCTGCTGCTCTGGGGTAACGGGCCCAGAAACCCTGCCCTCAAGTCCCTGGCTAACAATATGCGTTTACCACTTCGCTCCTCGTGACACCAGTGTGTTTCTCAGCCTGGTGATACATTGGAAGCACCGGGGCTTCTGGAACTACTCAGGATAGGCCTGCCTAGCTTTGACGGGTAGCGTCGGAGTTGTGGGCCTGGTTCTTGGTGCAGGTATGTTTTTCAAAGGTCTCCAGCAGCCTGGGTTGAGAACTGCTTGCCTTGAGCCAGATTCCTGCCTGGCCCTGAGCGTGCGGGCTCCTGTGTCATCCTGGCTGGGCAAGGGCAGCCGTGGCCCCGGCTCAGTGCAGTAGGCACCTGCAGATCTCCAGCTCCCGGGGAGTAAGGTGAGCTACGCTGCCGACAGCAAGTCCAGAGAGGAGGTCCCTGGTGAGCCCGCCCCAGCGTGGTCATGCAGAGCTCGAGGCCCAGCGTGGAGGGAGGTGCAGCAGGTCCTCCCGGAGGGACAGTGTCGGGGGCCCTATTGGGTGACGAAGGAGATTCCAGTGAGAAGGAGCCGGAGAGCCCTGGCTGAAACAAGGAGGTCTGTGGAGGACCAGGAGCGAAGGAGGGTGGGGACAGGCTCGGGTGCTGGGTGCCGGGGTGACCTCCCGCGGAGCTGCAGGTGTGCTTACCCTACATTGGGTGTGTGCGCACCAGTCCCCGCGTGCAGCCTGACACCCGTCGGGATGACCTTGGTGATGGAGCAAGGAGCGCCACTGCCTTTGGTGCTGCCTGGTGTTACTGCAGGCCCTGTGGTGTGCATGGTGGTGAGCTGGTGCTCACCGTGAGGGGGACGGGAAGTTCTCCCCACGCGGGGGCAGCAGGGAGCTCCTGTCACTGCTGCTGGACGGGATCACATTCTGTCAGCGTCCACCACAGGGAGACTTGGACCTGATTTGCGTTGTTTTTTGTTTGTTTGTTTTTTAAGATTTCACTTATTTATTTGAAAGACTTACACAGAGAGAGGAGAGGCAGAAAGAGAGAGGTCTTCCATCTGCTGGTTCCTCCCCAGTTGGCTGCAAAGGTCGGAGCTGTGCCAGTCTGAAGCCAGGAGCCAGGAGCTTCTTCTGGGGCTCCCACTGTGGGTGCAGGCGCCCAAGGACTTGGGCCATCTTCTGCTGCTACCCCAGGCCATAGCAGAGAGCTGGATCAGAAGTAGAGCAGCCGGGACTAGAACCAGCGTCTGCATGGGATACCAGCACTGCAAGAGGCAGCTTTACCCGCTGCGCCACAGCGCCGGCCCCATGTGGTGTTGGCTCCTTGGTTAAGACTCAGTGCCTCCTGTCCTGTGTTCATGTTCCTCCTAAAATGCTCCGAACACAGCAGTCGTCCCCGGGGCTCCGAGCATTGGGCTGCGTCCACCCACTGTTCCTCATGCTGGGGATGCGGCTCGGGGTGGCAGGGCGGCCACGCCCCCACTCTGATGCCTCAGGCCACCAGTGCCCTCCCCCGTGCCCACAGCGGGTCCTGGGCTTCCAGATGCCTGGTGTTGGTAGATATCACCGTCTGCCTGGTTGTGGCGGACTCCAGGGGAGACAGGCACGTGGTGCTGTGTGCTTGGGAGCAGCTTTACCCTCAGCCGTGAAGGACAGGGGCTCCCTGTGGCCACGGACTCTCGAGTGGCCTGCTGCCCTGATCCTGTCCGCTTGTGGGCAGGCCTCGAGCAGGCAGACGTTCTGAATGTGGTCAGCATCTGTTTGCCCTGGTGGGGTGCTGTGAGAACCTGGGCTAAACTTGATGGTGAACTTGGGCTGTGCTGTAAGGCCCAGGCCTTTCCGCCCAGGTGCCATGAAAGCTGCCGCCCTGGGTTTGTGCCAGCAGCCACGCGTGTGTCAGGTGTGTGGAGGGCCAGGCGCTTTGCCTGTGGGGAGGGCTGGGTCAGCAGGCAGCTTAGCTCCCGTGCACGCCAGCCTCGAGGGCAGCATGGGGACGCGGGACTCAGCCTTTCGCCACCTTTTTCCTGCAATGCAGGAGGAGCAGCTCAGCCTCTCTCTTGGGAATGGTGTCATCGTCTGTCCTGTGGGAGGGCCACACCCCGGTGCTGGCTCCTGGGACGTCTGCGGCGCGGTGAGTGCAGCCCCCGGGCGGCCTGGCACCACTGACCGAGAGCTCTCCTGTCTTCCAGAGGATTACCCCAACGGCACGTGGCTGGGCGACGAGAACAACCCCGAGATGCGGGTGCGCTGCGCCATCATCCCCTCGGACATGCTGCACATCAGCACCAACTGCCGCACGGCCGAGAAGATGGCGCTGACGCTGCTCGACTACCTCTTCCACCGCGAGGTGCAGGCCGTGTCCAACCTCTCGGGCCAGGGCAAGCACGGCAAGAAGCAGCTCGACCCGCTCACCATCTACGGCATCCGCTGTAAGTGTGCTGCGGGGCTGCGGGGCTGCGGGGCTGCGGGGGACGCTGGCCCTGTGTGGCCGCAGGTCGGGCGTTTCCTCCAGCGGCTGTGAGGAGAAAGACCTGCGGGAGGTGTCTCCAGGCACCCAGGCCCTACCTCACTTAGCCTTAGACTAGTCTTCTTTTCTTTTTAGCATTCATTTTTTAAGTTATTTGAAAGGCAGAGAGACGGAGGGAGGGAGAGACAGAGAGGTGAGTTTTCCATCCTCTAGTTCATTCTCCAAATGGCCACAGTGACCGGGGCTGACCCGAGCCGAAGCCAGGAGCCAAGAGCTTCCTCTGGGTCTCCCATGTGGGTGCAGAGGCCCAAGCACTAGGGCCATCTTCTACTTTCTCAGGCCATCAGCAGGGAGCTGGATCGGAAGTGGAGCAGCCGGGACTTGAACCGGCGCTCACGTGGGATACCCGTGCTGCAGGTGACAGCTTGACCTGCTCCGCCATAGCACTGGCCCCCCTCAGGCTACTCTTCAGGAAGAGAGAGGGAGAAGAGCCGAGGCCCCCCGCCGCCCGCTGACCACGCTGACCAGCCCTCACTGATGGCCCTGCCCGGCTGCCTTAGGCCCTTGGTGCCTCCGTCCTGAGCGTGTGGGCCCACCAGGTGGTGCTGGACACCGGCCGGTGCGCTCTGATGGCAGCACTGGCTCAGATCCCTCCTCACTTGGTGATGGCACCGGGAGAGTGGTGGCAGCAGGTGCAGAGCCTCTCCTCAGCGCCCTCGGGCCACGCACGCCGCAGTCCGTCTGGCTCCGGGAGCTGTGAGCATGGTGGGCTGAGTCAGGGGGACGCTGTAGTCAGAGGGCCTGGCAGCTGTCAGGGGACACAGTTCTGGGTGGGCTGCAGTTGAGCGAATGCCCAGGTGCCAGTCCAGCAGGGAGCCCTCACCTTTCAGGCGCCCTCTGGTGCCCATCCATGGCCCAGGGGAAGGAGGCCTGTGTTGTCAGCGGCTCCTGTAAACAGGCAGAACCAGTCACGCCGACACTTGGTGAGACCGAGGGTGTCATTCTGATTGAAGTCGCTGAGAGTCAGAGCCCAGGTCCCTGCTTAGGTGATGTGGGCAGGGCGGCTCAGCATCCCAGGGCTTGGGGCCGCTCCTGTCTGTCCCAGGGACGCCTGTCCCAGATGGCCTAGGAAGAACCGTGCCTGGGCCTGCTGCACTGGGTGCTCGGGTCGGGCAACGGCTCTCAGCGAAGCAGTGGTGCAGGCTTGCCTCCGGCTGGGGTCCAAGACGCTGCTCAAGGGCCGTGCAGCTCCACTCTGAGAGCAGCACCCAGTGTCAGCCAGCAGTCATGGCTGCGCCTCCATGGCCCCGTCCCAGTGTGCACAGCTGCGCCGGCCCTGGTCACACCGCCATCGCGGAGGGAGCTGTGTGGGCTTCCAGGGCACCATTTTGCAGCACGGGCCTGAGAGGGAGGTGCCCACAGCAGAAGGATGCTGGGGCCTGGGATTCCATGACCAGACAGGAGGGGCCGGGTCCTGGTGGGTCCCGCCCACCCTGACCTCCGAGTCTGCTCGTGTCGGGATTGCACTGGGTGTGCCAGGTGCTGCGTGGAGCATGGGGTCTGCCAAGCCCGCCCTGCTGGCTTCGGCTGCCGCGGCTGCCTGTGCTCTGCAGGCTGCCAGCACCCTGTGCAGCCACGGTCAGCTGGACTGCCTCCCTCAGCTTCCGGCTGGGCCTGAGACCACTGACCCAGAGGTGGTGTCCTGCTGGCCTGCGTTCTGTGAGAAGTCCCCTCCGGGGCAGCCACGCCTTCCCTGTGCACAAGGAGCTCGGCATGGCACAGAGGCCCAGTGGGTGCTGGTGTCAGAAGCAGAGGTGAGAACCACGAAGGGCTGCCGGCCAGGCCTCCTGGAGACTGGAGCGGCTGTTGCTGCGGGCCGACCGAGGCTGGGATTGTTGAGCAGGGATTCTGGAAAGAGGAGCGAGGCTTGGCTTGATAGGAGCTGGAAACTTGACCAGCGTCGCTGTGAGCCAGGGGCGCAGCCCGTTGTCTGCCCGGCAACCTCTGGGTTGTAGGCAGGATGGCTGTGTTGTGTTAAAGGCCACGTCGGGGGCGTTGTGTGTGCTTTTGGCAGGAGCCTCTGGGTGGGCCCGGAGTCTTGTTGCAGGAGACTCCGCAAGGAGCGCGTGGGGCCGAGGCTCGCAGCCGCAGCCGGGGTGCTCCAGGCTTGCAGGTAGCTCCCCACTTGCTGGGAAGCCTGCAGCCTCCCTTCTGAGGGAGGCGTTCCTGACTCGGAATGTCGACATCTGGGCGTGTCTGTAGGCATGAAGACACAGAGCTGAGATCCCAGGTTTGTTCCCTGGGAGCCGGCCCTGTGGCCCCATTGTCAGAGGAAGGCCGCCGTAGAGGGCAGGCTGGGCTGCAGGAAGGGGCGGGCTGATGGGATGCAGTGGAGCTGACCCGTGGCTCTGTGTTCAGCGGCATCACAGACTTTACCACCAGTAGTGCAGGGCAGCAGGCTGGGGCTGTGACTTCCCTTAGTGTGGATGTGGCTGCTGTCTCCTTACTGAGCAGAGAGCTGCGCAGGCCAGCTCCGAGAGGCAGGGAATTCCGAAGAACCGTGTCTGTGTCTGTCACGAGCATTCCCGGTCTTCATCTGGTGGGGAGAGAAGTGCCCGGGGGTACCTGTGGCTGCCATGTGGGGCCTCACTGGGCCAGCAGCCTCTGGCCTGGTCCTGTGCTCAGCCCTCCCAGCTCCCTCAGCAGCCATGCAGGAGGAAGCGGCAGGGGGAGACAGGGGTCCTGGCTTTAACCCCGTGATCTCTGGGCCCATCGCTGGACAGCGCCACCAGTGCTGCCGTGGGGTGAGAGATGGTGCTGCCTGCCACACACAGGCTCGCTTCCCTCGCCGGGAGGCCTTGGAAGCGGTGTGCTGTTGCCAGTGTTCCCATGGAGCTGTTGAAATGTTCGGATTTCTTGACCTCCTTTCCCTTTGGCCCAGTTTAATTCTTACTGCTGATGTGCTCAAAAACCAAAACAAATGCATGAACTGACTCCTGGGCTCAGCTTGCAGAGCGCGAGAGCAGAATGGGCTTCACCACGGTCTCTGGTGTCTTCAGGACACCACAGGGATGCCCGTTGCGGGAGCGGTTGCAGCCCTGCTGCGCGCCTGCGGCCCAGTGCGGCGCCGTCCCGAGAGACCCTGGTTCAGGTTTCTGCCTTTGCTGCCCTTCTTGTTCCGGAGACAAAGTCCGTGTTTTGAAGCACATAGGCGGGACATCTGAGCATCTCCTGTGGCGATGAGGGCACGAGAGTCTGTTGAAAGGGAGAGGGGAGACACGTGCCTTTCGGAACCTGACTGTTTGGGGTTCCCAGGGTTCCTGGGCCCCGCACTGGGGGCAGCGGTCTGGGAGTGCTCTGCGGAAGCTGCGCCTTGCTGTGCTTTGCAGACCTGGGAGTTCTCAGCACTGGGACGGCGGACCGAGCACAGGGGCTTGGTTAAGGTCTTTGCGGGAGGATCACACGGCCTCTGCCTGCACTGCAGGAGAGTCAGGTGCTCCCAAGGGAACATGCCGGTCAGCACGGACAGCCCCGGGTCTCTGCAGGCCCCTCTGAGGAGTGTGGAGGTGACGCGTGATCCCCGTGCGCTCTCCCGGCACTGTGGGGCAGATGGGATGAGTGCACACACCCAGAAAGCCCACGGACGCAGCGCTGAGTGGCAGGGCCAGAGCCATTTCTTTTTTTGTCGTCCACGAGGGCGCACGCTTCCCGGCTGACTGCGGCCTCGCCCACACTCCCCACTGAGAGCAGGTCCACTTCCTGCCCAGCCGCGTCTCACAGGACGTGCTGGCTTCCTGAGGCTGCTGTAACCCAGGACCAGTGACGGGGCCGTCCAACCGGGCATCTGCGCTCTCACAGGTCAGAGGCCCCAGGTCCGAGATGTGGGTGTTGGTAGGGCCGTACGCCCTCTGAGAGCCTTGCCCTCTGCCAGCTTCTGGTGGTGGACAGCCGAGGTCAGCGTCCCTGCCCAGGGCAGCGTCACTCGTGCCTGCCTCCGTCACGTGGCTGTTGTCTCCCTGAGCGACTGTGTTGTGGTCGCTCTCCTTGCCTGTGTGGATTCCAGCCACATTGGGTTTCAGCCCCACTGTACTCAGCTATGACCTCATCTGAACTAAATTAATCCCATCTGCAGAGCCGTCAGTGCCAAGGAAGGTCACTCCTGAGGTCCTGGGAAGGCCATGGTTGTGGGGACACCGTTCGAGCAGTACTCAGGCCAGGGTTCCCCGAGCTCACACACCACACGCTGCTCCACGCACACCTCCGCCTGCCTGGGGCATCCTGGAGAAATTCCGCGTGGGTTGTGGCGCTTTGTGCGTTACAGTGAACTTAGCTCTTAGTTCTCTTTCTTCTGTGGACCTCCTGAAGTCCTCGTGTTTAGCCACTGTGGGCCAACACATTCGATGGGTGCATCTGTCACTTGGGCTGGTGTCAGAGAAGGGAAGCTGGCCGCTGTGCCGTACCCATCAGGCTCGCTCGCCCTAAAGGTTATTTGTTTGTTTGAAAGGCAGAATGACAAAGGGAAAAAGAGGTCTCTTCTACCTGCAGGTTTGCTCCCCAAATGGCCTCCATGGCTGGGGCTGGGGCTGGGCCAGGCCAGGCCCAGGCCAGAAGCTTCTTCGACGGTCTCCCACGTTGGTCATTTTATGCTGCTTTCCCAGGCCGCTAGTAGGGAGCACGAACCAGCGCCCATAATGGGGTGCTGGCGCTCCAGGTAGTAGCTTTACCCACTCACCACAGCACTGGCCCCAACGGGTCTCTTACAGACCAGGGACGGAGGGACTGGAGGTTGCTCCTGAGGGCTGTGGGCTCCCCTCCCGGGAAGTGGCTGTGACTGGGCGGCGCGGGTGGAGTGTCGGCCGGCTGTGCTGCCCCGCTGCCGTGGAGTGCTTGGCCACGGAGGACAGATTCCTTCCGCTTCCCTGGCCAGTTGCTATCAAGTCTGTAATTTCAAGAAGTAAATTGTTGGCACTGAGCTTTCTGCTGGCTTTGCCCTCGAACTTGAGATGACATCCAGCCGTGGGGTTTCATTCTCTGTGGCTGATAAACCTCCTGCCACCCACCAAGCTCTGAGATCGTGAGCTCTGTTCCTCCTCTTTGGCCGCTCCTCTGGGAGGCTCATTAATGAGAGCTGGGAATCTGTTTTTGTGATTTGAGGCACCGATGCCAATGGAGGGGGCGTTCTGGGGGCTGGGGAGAATCCTTTCAGCTCTCGGGGTTGCTGGGCAGCTCGTCAAGAAGGGAGGTGAGGGGCCGGCGCTGTGGCTCACTTGGTTAATCCTCCGCCTGCGGTGCCAGCATCCCATACGGGCACCGGGTTCTAGTCCCAGCTGCTCCTCTTCCAGTTCAGCTCTGCTGTGGCCCGGGAGGGCAGTGCAGGATGGCCCAAGTGCTTGGGCCCTGCACCTGCATGTGAGACCAGGAGGAAGCACCTGGCTCCTGGCTTCGGATTGGCACAGTGCCAGCCATAGCGGCCATTTGGGGGGTGAACCAACGGAAGGGTGACCTTTCTGTTTCTCTCACTGTCTGTAACTCTGTCAAATAAATTTAAAAAAAAGGTGGGGGGGTAGGTGAGGGCAGCCTGGGCCTCTGCTGTCCAGGTGAGATGGACACTGTCCCTGGGAGTCAGTTGCTTGTTGGCTAGAGGTTGATGGCTCCGGTTCTCTGTGCCCCGGCAGCTGCTGTAGATTTCAGTTTGCCTAAAGGGTCTGCTGTGTCTGCTGGCGGAAGGTCCATCATGGCCGTGGAACCAGGGGAGGCCCCTGAGTGTGGGGCAGGGACACGCGTGTGCTCTCTGCTTGGGCTCGGGGCTCTCGGGGCGGAGGAGGGGCCGCAGTGCATCAGCCGCTTCTCCTCCAGGTGGGTGGGCTCTGGGAAGCCCAGCTTTTCCCTTTGATTTTGCTTCAACACTGGACCTTGTTTCCAGACTTTCTTCTGCTGATTAAGTAACACGCGAGCTGGAGTGCCAGGCAGCTGTCCATTGCCCGTGAGGTTCGGGGCAGTCTTCCACGTCATGATAAGGCTTTTCCTGCTCCACTGGCCGAGCTGAGGTTGCTCGGCTGAGGTTCTCGGGAGAGGAGCGGAAGGAAGCTTTGTGAGGGCGGAGGAAGCGGTGACTCGGGGCCGTGCCCGGGCTGCAGTGTCCAGGTCCCTCCCCGACGTCCAGGCTGGCCCCGTGCGGTGCGGTTTCTGAGGGCAGAGCGTGAAGCCGCCTGTGCAGCTCTCGGGGCACGCACGCCTGCCTTTCCAACCCGCAGCTCTTCCGGCGGGGGGCCTGCTGCTGATGCATCGGTTGGTTTGTCTTGGCTGAGATTCGGGCGGCTCACCCTCCAGTGGGAGCTCTGGGTTGCTGCGGGAAGGAATTATGTAACATGATGTTCAAGGAGAATTTAAAAATGGATCATGTGTAACTAAATAAATAGACATTTTTTCTTTAAAGGATATAAGCCAGGTTTTAAACTGGCTGCTTGATTTTTACAAATTCAAATTTACTAATATTTTTGCCTGTTTCTTATATCTATAACCTCTGTGTGTTTTAGTTTCTGTTAACAAATTTTTAAAAATTTGTATAATGTTATTAATCCCTAGGGGTACTTTAAAATTTTTTTCCGTACATGCAAAAATATGAAAAGAATGAGTGGTGGCTTTGACGATTTTTCTTTTTATCCAAGAGTGTTCCAAGTAAGATGTTTTCACAGTGTAGCAAACACCGTTTTTAGTCTGGGGGGCCTGTTGTGACCGTGGTCCATGGTGGGCCTCTCTGCCGCGCTGTGCGTGGTTCTGATGGCTGAGTTCTGTCGTGACCGCGGTCAGCGGTGGGCTCCCTCTCTCTGCCGCGCTGTGCGTGGTTCTGATGGCTGAGTTCTGTCGTGACCGCGGTCAGCGGTGGGCTCCCTCTCTCTGCCGCGCTGTGCGTGGTTCTGATGGCTGAGTTCTGTCGTGACCGCGGTCAGCGGTGGGCGCCCCTCTGGTTGAAGTTGATAACAAGCCAGGGCCATCGTGAGGCACCTAAAGCCAAAGCCACCACAGGCCCGTTGGTATGTGCCCGCCAGAGCCTGCAGCCTTGTGACCGTGAAAGTGGGCAGGGCCTGAGGGGCATCAGCTCCAGTCTGACACCTGCTCCGCAGTGCTGCCCTGGTCTGCTGTCCCCTGGTCACTGAGAGAGGGGACTCTGTGCTGTTGGCCATGTCCTGAGCCCTTGTGGGTGCTCAGGGGTTAACACGTGTGATTCTCTGCGTGTGCAAGATGCAGTACGGGGAAGCTGCAAGCCCACATGCGCCGCCTCCTGGGCAGGTGCGCAGAGCACCCGGGACCAGAAGCAGTGGTGTGCCCCACGCCCCGCTGTGCTGCAGGAGGTCTTCAAGTCTGGGCTGCTGTCTCCGAGCACCTGCCTCGTGCGGGGGGGGGGTGGGGGGGTTTGACACCCCCGGGTGAAAAAGCGAATTTCCTGTGCTTGTGCAGGAGACAAAGTGGAAACACGCGCATATGCAAATTCTGTACATGCTGCACGGTAATCACTGTGCTGAGAAAGCAGGCGGAACAGGATCTGGAGGCTTCCAGCGCCAGGGTGGGGGTGCATGTGCGTGGGGAAGGCAGGGCTCCCGGCACGCTGGCGGAGCCGTGGCGTGAAGGGATTGCCAGAGGCCCGAGCGAGCCTGAGTGAGCCAGGGCCGAGGGGCAGCGTCATGGAAACCCAGATGTGACTGAATTGTTGGGGTCCTGCATTCCTCCCTAGACGTCTGGGACTTGAGTGCTGTTTTTGAAGTCAGGGCACAGGTAGGAGTGGGGTGAAGGCCTCGCGAGGACCCTGGGCCTTGTGGTGTTGGGGAGCACTTCGGTGACAGTTACTTAAAGCGATGGGGAAAGACCTGACTGTTTCCTCGGTGTGTGTATCCGATCTTGGAAGATCGTTGACTGAGTGGGCGGCACTTTCCTCGCGTATGGGATTTTCCAGGAGAGGGGCCCAGCCCTGAGGGGCGAGGGGCGGGTGTCCAGGACTGAGTGGGCGGCACTTTCCTCGCGTATGGGATTTTCCAGGAGAGGGGCCCAGCCAGCCCTGAGGGGCGAGGGGCGGGTGTCCAGGACGCGGGCGCTGTTGATGCCGCTCGTGGCGCAGGGCTCTCACAGCTTCTGCGGGGCTGTCCTTTCAGGTCACCTCTTCTACAAGTTTGGGATCACGGAATCTGACTGGTACCGGATCAAGCAGAGCATCGACTCCAAATGCCGGACAGCGTGGCGGCGGAAACAGCGCGGCCAGAGCCTGGCCGTCAAGAGCTTCTCGCGGAGAACGCCGTCCTCCTCCTCCTACAGTGCCTCAGGTAGGCTCTGCGGCCGCCGGAGCAGGCGCCCGGGCCACGGTGCGTGCCGTGTGGGCGCTGTCCAGGTGCTGCGCCCTGGTGCTGCCTCCACACGTGGGCTGGGCCGCTGTTCAGAGAGCGGGCGGTCTCCCGCCTGCTGGTCCTGGGGTGAGACCTCTGCCTGAGGAAGGAGAAGCAGCGGCCTCCTGGGGGCTCCTGAGGTCACAGGGGACTTCTGTGGTTCTGTGGCCCAGGGGGGCTCTGGTCCAGACCAGGGTGGGTGCTGCGTCCAGCGGCTGCTGACTCTGCACCTCCCCTGCTGCTCTGACCCCTGAGCGAGTGGCCGTGACTGCTCCCTGCGAGGTGACTGTCGCGGAGGGCAAGGGGTGAACCCTCACTTGCGTTCCTGGCCTCAGTGCCAGGACCACAGGTCGTGGGAGGAGCCCTCCAGCCTTCCCCGCGCACACTGCTGCAGGCCTCTCTCTCCCAGGGGCGCGTTGGCTAGAAGGGCACCCGGACTTCAGCACTGCCTTCCGCCCCGTGACTCCAAGAATCTGAACAAATTTTTAAATGGAAACAGTTCTCCCGCTGGGCTGGGGTCAGAGTGTGTGGGTGGCAGTCTCCCGCTGGGGCTGGGGTCAGAGTGTGTGGGTGGCAGTCTCCCGCTGGGCTGGGGTCAGAGTGTGTGGGTGGCAGTCTCCCGCTGGGGCTGGGGTCAGAGTGTGTGGGTGGCAGTCTCCCGCTGGCCTGGGGTCAGAGTGTGTGGGTGGCAGTCTCCCGCTGGGCTGGGGTCAGAGTGTGTGGGTGGCAGTCTCCCGCTGGGCTGGGGTCAGAGTGTGTGGGTGGCAGTCTCCCGCTGGGCTGGGGTCAGAGTGTGTGGGTGGCAGCGGGCGAGGCCCCTCTGTGCGTGGGCCTGTTGCTGAGCTCCGCTCCGCGGCCTGCACCGGACAACCAGACCGCCTGCGGCGCTCGGCGTCTGTTCTTTCTGAGCCAGTCCCAGGAGACTCTCGCCCCCCAGTTGTTTGGGAAGTTTTTGGATACTTGGCCCCGAGCTGTGGCCAGGGGTCCTGAGGGTGGGAGGCAGGGTGGTGGCCACACACATTGCCCCCTGCCCCACCCTGGGCAGTTGTTTCGAAGCGTCTGCTGTTGATGAAAGCAGCCCTTGGTGAGGAGGCTGGACCTCGTAGTTGCCGACAGGCAGTGTGTGTGGAATGCAGAGGGGCAGCCCTCGGGTGCGACTGAACACCTGGCGATTGCGTGCAGGGCGGCAGCTCCTGCTGTGGCACCGGTGCCCTAGCTGCCGTGCCCTGGCACAGACGGGAGAGATGCAGTCATGGGGGACGCGTGCTGCATGTGGCGTCACGGACAGTCTCAGCTGATGGCCTTGCAATTTAATTTTTTTCTTTATGTCTTACTGGAGCTTCTGGATTATTTCCAGTAAACACTGCACTGGTTTTACGGTTTTTCAAAATGCCTTCAGGCTTGATGCAGGGCAGGGACCAGGTTGCATTCTGTCCTCGTAGAAATCTGGGCGAGGCTCCGAGGCAGCTGCCTCAGACTGGGGAGCCGGCAGCACAGGACGGTGACCGCTCGAGGGGGAAGGGGGCCGACCCTGCCTCGCCCGGGCTCGCTCAAGGAGGCGCCGGCTGGCCTCTGCACGCGGTGTGAGACGTCCCAGGCAGGCCGCAGCTGCGTCATACACGCAGGAGACCATAGTGCAGGGGGTGGGGACAGCCAGGAGTTGTGGAGTGGAATTCTTGTTTTTTTGTTTTTTAAGCTTGATTTATTTATTTGAAAGAGTTACAGAAAGAGAGGGAGAGACAGAAAGATCCTCCACGTGCTGGTTCACCCCCTAGATGACCACAGTGGTCAGGCCGAAGCCAGGAGCCAGGAGCGTCTTCCAGGTGTCCCACGTGGGTGTAGGGGTCCCAGCACTTGGGCCATCTTCTACTGCTTTCCCAGGCCACAGCAGGGAGCTGGATCGCAAGTGGAGCAGCCGGGACTCGGAACCGGCATGGATGTGGGGTAACCTGTTACGGCTAGTGGCTGTATCGACTGCACCACAGCACTGGCCCCCGAGCGGGGTTCTTGTGAGGAACGAGGTTTGTGGGAGACTCCGGAGTGCACAGGGTTCTGCTGCACAGACTTGGAGAGAAGAGGGCACACCTGGGCATGGGGCTCTGCGCTGCCCTGGGCTGAGGGCGGTGCAGACTTTCCCAGCTGTGCTCCAGAGACCTGGGATCTGGCCAGCAGGAGACCACGCTTACTGAGGAAGCAAAGTGTCCCCCGAGTGGAAGCCGAGCCCCCACTCAGCCTTGGAGGGCTCACGCTCCCCCACCAGGTATAAAACTTCCAAAGAAAGACAGCAAAATCCAGATTCGCTGAGCAGAGTGAGATCCACAGTGTCCAGAATCCCCTGCAAATGTGACCTGGGACCAGAGAGCTGTCAGAGAAGGAGCTCCTGTGTGGGATTAACAAGCCAGGATTCCAGAGACTGTTAACATTGTGGTCTGAGATGGAGACCACAGCATAGCAAGGCGACGTAGGAGAGGCGAAGCAGCGAGTTTGCTCTGGGGTGAGAAGCGAGGGCTGACTGCCGTGCTGTGCCTTCTGCCCTCTCCCTGCACGCGCCCTGGTAACGCAGTGGCTTATTTCAGCAGCTGGGCGAGCACAGCCCAGGCTGAATTGTTGCCAGCATCCGTGGTGAGCAGGAGCTGCGAGGTATTCCAGTCCAGATTATTAGCAAGTTAAAGGGTCTTGCAGGGGCAGATGAGGAAGTTGAAGGGTCTCATAGGGGCAGATGGAGTGAGGTGATTTTTATTAACATTGCAACAGAAATTACTTGGGAGCCTCCGTCGCCTGGTTCTTGTTAGCTAGTGGGGCGACTGTCAGCATTTGGCTCTCAGACCCTCTCGGGGGAGTGTCCCGAGCTCTCTTCTCCCCAGCACGTATTCAAGTTCAACCTTTAAGGACGTTTACACCCAGCAGCATTCATGCGGTTTGAAGTAATCGAAAAAAATATAATTGCTAGCATCTTTCAAATATTAACGTTTTGTTATTATTATAATAGTTTTAAAAATGTGGGGCCAGCGCTGTGGTGTAGCAGGTAGAACTGCTGGCATCCCATATGGGTGCCAGTTCTAGTCCCGGCTGCTCCACTTCCGATCCAGCTCTCTGCTATGGCTGGGAAATCAGTGGAGATGGCCCAAGCACTTGGGTCCCTGCACCCACTGCTCGTGGCTCCTGGCTTCGGATCAGCGCAGCTCCGGCCGTTCTGGCCAGCTGGGGAGTGAACCAGCGGATGGAAGACCCCTCTCTCTCTCTCTCTCTCTCTCTCTCTCTGCCTCTCCTTCTCTCTCTGTGTAACTCTGACTTTCTAGTAAAATGGATAGATCTTTAAAAAAAAAAAATGTACTCAGTGGAATCTATAAACCGTAGCAGTTTGATGCTTAGAATTAACTACTGAAGGGGCCAGCACTGTGGCGTAGTGAGTAAAGCTACTGCCTGCAGTGCCAGCATCCCACATGGCTGCTGGTTCGAGTCCCAGCTGCTCTACTTCTGATCCAGCTCCATGCTATGGCCTGGGAAAGCAGTAGAAGGTGGCTGGAGTCCTTGGGCCCCTGCCATCTCCATGGGAGACCCAGAAGCTCCTGGCTCCTGTCTTCGGATTGGTGTAGCTCCAGCTTGGGTAGAATACCTCTCCCTCTCTCTGCATCTGTTCTCTCTGACTTTGCCTTTCAAATAAAATAAGTAATACTTAAAAAATAATTAGCTACTGGCCGGCGCCGCGGCTCACTAGGCTAATCCTCCACCTGTGGTGCCAGCACCCTGGGTTCTAGTCCCGGTCGGGGTGCCGGTTCTGTCCTGGTTGCTCCTCTTCCAGGCCAGCTCTCTGCTGTGGCCCGGGAAGGCAGTAGAGGATGGCCCAAGTGGTTGGGCCCTGCACCCCATGGGAGACCAGGAGGAAGCACCTGGCTCCTGGCTTTGGATCGGCTGCAGCGCACTGGCCGTGGCTGCCATTTGGGGGGTGAACCAACGGAAGGAAGACCTTTCTCTTTCTCTCTCTCTCTCTCTCTCTCTCTCACTGTCTAACTCTGCCTGTCCCCAAAAAAAACAAAACAACAAAAAAAAAAAACCATGCATCTAAAGTAATAACTCAGTTAAACAGAGAAATCGAATTCTTGGAAAGTCCCTTCGCTACATTGGGGTGACATTTCCCCAGTTAAATTATCCATGGAGGCCGGCGCCGCGGCTCGGTAGGCTAATCCTCCGCCTAGCGGCGCCGGCACACCAGATTCTAGTCCCGGTTGGGATTCTTTCCCGGTTGCCCCTCTTCCAGGCCAGCTCTCTGCGGTGGCCAGGGAGTGCAGTGGAGGATGGCCCAAGTGCTTGGGCCCTGTACCCCATGGGAGACCAGAAGTACCTGGCTCCTGCCTTCGGATCAGCACGGTGCGCTGGCCGCAGCGCGCCAGCCGTGGTGACCATTGGAGGGTGAACCAACGGCAAAAGGAAGACCTTTCTCCCCGTCTCTCTCTCACTATCCACTCTACCTGTTAAAAAAAAAAAATTCCATGGAGAAAGCTTACTTACTGCTGGAGTGGAACAGGCTTGCTCTCAGCTTTAGTCCTTCTCATTTTTGCAGGTGCATCCCAAGAAACTGCCTTCATTTCCGAAGTTCTTGGAAAGTGGAGGGAGGGTTTGTGACGACAGTCACCCAGTGTGCAGGCTCTCAGGCACTGCGGCTTACTGTTGCTGATCCCGACAGAAGGGAGGACGTGACGGGGACGGGTCTGGGGACAAGGGCGAGCGGGATGTGCTGTTCTCTGACGCCTGTGTCCTGCTCCCACAGACACCATGATGGGCTCCCCGCCGGCCGCCAGCGAGCTCCCGCAGCCACAGCCGCAGGCCCTGCACTACGCCCTGGCGAATGCCCAGCAGGTGCAGATCCACCAGATCGGAGAGGACGGACAGGTCCAAGTAGTATGTACCTTCCCGCTGATGCGCCGGGGCTGGCCGGGGCCGGGTGGTGGGGTTGCCGTGGGGACCGCCGGCTTTCACTGAGTTTCTGGAGCACTGCGGTCGTCTGGGGGAGGTGGAAGTACCCGAGGCTGTGAGCGTGGGGGAGGGGCCTTGTGATGCAAGGGCAGCAGCCGGTGCTCGGCCCCCTGTGCTTGTCCCCGCCCTGCAGGGCCTCCTGCCCTGAGAGGCCCCATCTGTGTTTCTGTTCGGAAGCTCAGTAGAGGCTGCTTGAGTGCCCTGAGGGAAGAGAAAGTGATTTCCTCCCGGCTCTGCGGGAGGCGGCGGCCTTTGTGTCTGCGCTGTCTCCCGTGGGCTGGATCAGTGTGACTGCCCCAGGGAGGCCACGCACCTGCCTTCCCCCTGTGCGGGCAGACGCGGGGCCTGCCCTCTAGTCGGCGCAGCAGATCCTCCGCTGACAGCGGTCCCCGGGTCCCAGTGTGCAGGCTGCAAGGAGTGGGGGGTAGCGTTCTCGGGCACCCTCACTGGGAGCCAGAGGTGCTGGGGGGCGGGGGCATCCTTGTGCCTCTTGGAGCGGGGCTGACCAGCACAGGCGCCTCTGCTGCGCCGCTGACCCCTTGTCCCTGCAGGCACTGCCTCCTGCACCTGCTTGCGGGACAGGCGCTTCCTGAGACGCTGTGTAGCGCTTTTCCGTGGCTTTTTCCCCTCTTCCCTAGGAGGTGGAGCAGTTATGAGTCAGGAATTTAATGGGCTTATTAAATTTAATCGACATTCACAAAGGCAGTGACTCTCCTCTTGTCAGTAGGAAAGTTCTTTGAAAGAATCCCAGAGTAGATAACTCTGACACAGAGTTTACATACACGTAGGAAAGTGTAAGCAGTAGAACATTCTACAGTACTTTGAGGTCCATTTCAACCAACTTCAAGAATTTTAAGTAAGATGTGAGTCTTCGTTTCATTTTCATCTAGTTTACAGGGATGATCTGGCTGTGTCAGTACAACATAAATCGTCTTAGCTGGGCTCTTTGATTCCTTATTAGTGTTTGCTCGAGTTACTCAGACACTCGTGTGAGTGTCCTCTGATTTGAAGAGCTTGCCTGACCCGCTGTCAGTGTGGCTGCACACGCAGCCCTGCCCTGTCCCTGTCCCTGCCCGTGAGGGCCCCAAAGCAGCACACGCAGCCCTGCCCTGTCCTGTCCCTGTCCCTGCCCGTGAGGGCCCCAAAGCAGCACACGCAGCCCTGCCCTGTCCCTGCCCGTGAGGGCCCCAAAGCAGCACACGCAGCCCTGCCCTGTCCCTGCCCGTGAGGGCCCCAACTCTGGGGTTCCCCTGGGTTTGTTGTCGCACCCAGTAGAAAGTGTGACTTAGAAGAAGACTTGTCACCCTGATTCTCTGGAGTCACGCTCTGGCCTTGACTTGTTCAGTGACATCTGAAGATCTGCACTCGTCCTTGCCCGTCGCTCCTGTAGGAGTCGCTGTGGAGCGTGTCTGTTGGGTCTTAGAGAGGCGGTCCCAGAGCTGGGACCCCAGCCCACCTTGCACTCCCTAGGGTCCCGGAAGCTGGGACCCCACCCCACCTTGCACTCCCTAGGGTCCCGGAAGCTGGGACCCCAGCCCACCTTGCACTCCCTAGGGTCCCGGAAGCTGGGACCCCAGCCCACCTTGCACTCCCTAGGGTCCCGGAAGCTGGGACCCCACCCCACCTTGCACTCCCTAGGGTCCCGGAAGCTGGGGCCCAGCCCACCTTGCACTCCCTAGGGTCCCGGAAGCTGGGACCCCACCCCACCTTGCACTCCCTAGGGTCCCGGAAGCTGGGGCCCCAGCCCACCTTGCACTCCCTAGGGTCCCGGAAGCTGGGACCCCACCCCACCTTGCACTCCCTAGGGTCCCGGAAGCTGGGACCCCAGCCCACCTTGCACTCCCTAGGGTCCCGGAAGCTGGGACCCCACCCCACCTTGCACTCCCTGGGGTCTGCTGTCGTTCTGGAGCAGGTAATCCAGAACCTTCCAGAAAACATCGCTGTGTCCTTTGTTCTTGTTTTTCTTCTGATGCTTCTTGGTGTCTTCTCTTGCTGTGGATCCCACAGGGTCACCTCCACATCGCCCAGGTGCCTCAAGGGGAGCAGGTGCAGATCACGCAGGACAGTGAGGTGAGTCCTTGGAGGTGGCCGACAGCCGGCCTCCTGGGAGTCCTCTGGGGGAAAGCGTGTGACAAGGGTGGCTGTGCTGTGGGACACTGGTCCAGCTCTGGCGGCAGCTTTGGTTGGGCAGATTGGGTGCGGGGGGGGGGGAGGGGCGGCGTTGGCTGGGCTGACTAGTGTGGGAAGCCCACTGAGGCCGTGTCGTATGCCAGAGACCGGGCCAGGTGTTGGATCACGGCAGAAGCAGAGCAGCTGTAGGCCCTGCCTGCGAGGACCCAGGTGTGCCTGGACGATCGTGCCTCCGTCAGCAGTGGGGCTAGAGGTGGTATGCACACCTCAGCACCAGGCTGCGAGACTCCAGGAGAGGGCCGGCCGGGCTGCTGTGAGGGCAGTGCCTAGCAGAGCGTGCTGGCGGGAGGAGAGAAGCTGAAGGGTGGTGGGGTGGGCAGGTCTGGTGAGGGGCTGTAGCAGGTGTCCATAAGGTAGGTTTCCATAAATGTGCAGCCCAGTGAGAGAGAAGAAGAGAGCCCAGTGTGGCTGCAGCGTGCGTAGGACGAGGGAGCTCGGGCAGACGGCCAGCTCAGAGGAGGAGGTCCTGGGAGGCAGGGAGAGCGAGGCTGGAGGGTGGAGGCCCGTGGAGGGCACTGGGGACAGGTGGCTCGGGTTCTGCAGGACGCGTCAGACAGGAGCCCTGGGGAGCTGGGGGCAGAGTGGGCATGGGGCCCACCCGTGGTGGAGCTGCTTCGTGGGCTGCGTCTGGGAGTCAGGGCCAGGCTGTGTTTAAAGGTGCAGATGAGCGCGGGACGCCGCAGTATCGGAGCGGGGGCGGCTTCTCCGCACTCTGGGGGCCTGTGGGCCGCAGAACCCCACTCTGAGCAGAAGGGGAAGCTGACCGGACAGTGAGGGAGAAACAAGCCCGCACTTGCTGTTGTGTGAATGCTGGGCTTCTGTGGGCTTCTTGAATTCCAGTTTTTCACTGCTGGTTTTGTTCTTGTTTTTTAGTTATCAGAACTGAATCTGTCTTGTATACGTAATTCAGTATTTTTGTTTCCATTAGGAATTGAATAGAATAAATTAGAAGAAATTGCTGCTGAGTTTAATGATTACCTTGTGATAAGTTAGAATATGCGGTCTTGTTATGACGACGACTGCTTACCTGGTTTGTCCAAAATGAAGTGTTTTGTTGGAGAGAGACAGGCGTGAGCATGGGTCTCCTGGGAGCTGTGAGTCCGTGCGGCGTGTGCTGGTGTCGGCATTTGTGCTGCTGTGAGCTGTGCCAGTGGCGGGAAGGTGGACTGGCACCAGTGTCCCCGCCGGGACCTCTCTGTCCCCATGTTGTGTTTCTTGTCCCTCAAAATTGTCTCAAAAACTGGAAAAAGTGGGAGTGGGATTTTTTTTTAGGATGGGGTGAGGGGAATGGGCACGAAGTTGGAACTGCTTCGTTGTTTACAAGAAAGAGTAGTTCCTAGAGACCCAGCTTCTGCATTGCATTTGCAGTTCTTACTCCACGAGGGGCCAAAGTCTTGCAGACTCAGCGGCTGTCTGGTGGCTCCCAGATGGCCCGGGGCAGGTCCTGCCCGAGCAGGCGTGCTGTCCGTCCCCTTCCTGATTCTTCTTCTCCTTTCTCTGCAGGGCAATCTGCAGATCCACCACGTGGGCCAGGACGGGCAGGTGAGTCTGAGTGTCCTCTCGCTTCCCACAGACCAGGCACTGCGTTGCCCAAGTGACAGCGGCTCTTCGAGGAAGGAGCGGGGAGTGAGGAAGAGTGGCCTCGCTCCCGGTGGCCCTGCTCACGGGGCCTCGCTCCCTGTGGCCTCGCTCCTAGTGGCCACTCAGGTGCCTGGAGGACGTGGAGGGTGGGCCAGGGCTCATCTTTGCTTCTCTGTTGGACGTCACGTGGCTTTACCTCGTGGAGGACACTCCCAGCCTTGTCACTGGTCCCTGCACATTTTGTGAGTGTTGTGGTTTGCACACAGAGCCATGTATTCGAGTAAGGTGGGTTTTGTCCTGCTTCTGTTGCTGTCAGACTCAAACCACTTGCGTTTCTTCCAGTCTGAAACCAGACGGGCAGACGTGCCGGGAGGGGTCTCCACAGTGTGGTGCCGGCTGTAAGGCGTCGAGGGGATTTGCTGCCCAGGGCGGGGTGAAACTGCTGGTTTGCAGGCTTTATGTTTTCCTGCCCTTTGGAAGGCACATTCCGTCGCGGGGACTGCTGATGCCTCTGGACCATCACCGGTGTCTGGAAGGTCTTCCTGTTTCATAAAACCTGACCCAGGAACGTGGCGGCGCGCTTGCTCAGGACATATTACTCACTGTCCCCAGATCAGAGTGTTCTGCCCTTTGGAAAACCCGCGTGTGTCCTTCTCTCACTGGCCAAGCCCTGCAGAGGTCTTCCTTGGGACCCGGCATCCTGGGAATGAGGGTGCTCACAGCAGAGGGGCCCAGGGGTCGGCGCCCCGGGAGGCCCCTCAGGAAGGGGCCGCAGACCCAAGAATTAGTGTCCTCCTGGGTTGCCTGGTTTCAGAGTTGCTTCAAAACGCACGTGAGGTTCTAGTCTGTATTCCTGCAGCAGTGTCTGCATCGAAACAGGAGCTGGCCCTCGGGCTGGGCCAGAGCGCGAGGCGTGCGCAGCTGAGAACTCACACTAGTTCTCCGGCGCCTGTGCTGTCTTGGCGAGGTCGCCGTGGGGCTGGCAGCGGCCGGTTCTCCACCCCCTCCTGCGGTTCCTCAGGGTCCCCGGGGCAGCCGCAGGTGGTTGTCTCAAGTCTGTCTCGTTGGTTTCCTGGTTTGTGTTTATACCTGGAGTGGAAATCGTCCCAGAGAGCGTGCAGCTGGGCTGGCACTGCGACCTTGATTTTCCATTTCTGTCCCTTTCTGTCTCTCTTCCTAAACAGAATTTTAAGAATCGAAGTGGCTTTGACACCGCGTGAGTGTTGTGCTCACGGTTGGGGCTGTAGAGCAGCCCAGCTGGGAGTGCGGGCGGAGGTTCCGCGTGGCTGCGGCGGCCTCGTGCCCAGGGGAGGCCCTCAGCACTCGTGGTACAGTGTGGGGCCTCTTCCTGACGGGGCTCCTTCCCAGGCGTGGCCGCCGCCGTGCTGGGCACAGGGACCCTCCTCCACTTGCCGCAGGTTCTTTCTCTGACCACGCCCACCTCCCCCATGAAAGAGGTGAAGCAGAGGCTGCCGCTGGTCTCCTCTCGGCACCAGTGTCCTGCGGAGGGACCTCAGTGCAGGCCGGGCCAGCGCGGGTGCCCTGGGCAGAGCTCTGTGTGGGAGCTGCTGCTTTCCAGAGAGCGCCGCCGTGAGCCGTGATTTGAGGAGGCAGCCTGTGTTCATGTGGCGCTGCACACGCACGCGCACGCACATACGCACACACACACACCTGTCTGACCTTCCATCTGTGGAGTCCTGTGTGGACTCCACCCTCCAGCCGGTTCTCGTTCCTGTTTGGTTGCCGCGCTCCTGACAGCTGTGGGGGAAGGCAGCCCTGTCTCTGCTCTGCTTGTCCGGCTCCCCGTGCCCTCGAGGCACTGGTGCCCGTGGACTCAGGGCGCTTTCCCACCAGCAGACGTGAGGTTCCCATAGTGCCGCAGGCCACAGCTGTCCCCTGTGCCAGAAGCCCCTGCCCACCTGGGGTCGGATTTGGAGACTGCAGCTCAGGTCAGTGGAGGAGGGGTTTATGACCACCTTGACATGGGGTTAGAGGTCATTTTGCTAAAGACATACGTGATGGCCTTTGTTGAGTTCCCAGATCCCTGAGGTGGGTGGGATGGCTCTGCTGTAGGGCGGAGACCCCCAGGAGGTGGGCCTCCGAATCCAGGGCAGCAGAGGGCGAGGTTGAGGTGGCTGTCCCCGACCCTAGTGTGCCCAGCCTCATGGGGAGGTCCCGAGGGAGGGTGAGCACACCAGTGTTGAAGGGGCAGCAGTGGCCACAAGGGCCTGGGAGAGCCCACGGCCAGGGGGAGGTTTCAGTGTGGCAGAACATGGCCACCACGACAGGTGCGGGGAGCACAGCTGCGTGGCGCCGCCCCTCCACCCCCAAACAGCCCTTCCAGCTCTGGCGCCCCCAGGAGTGCTCCCTCGTGGCCACCCAGCCCTCTGGTCTCTGGGCTCCTGCCCTGTGCCGTTTGGCTGTGCTGATCAGCTCCTGCCCCGAGGTCCTGCCTGCCTTTGCCGTTCATGGGGACACCGGCACGTCTCAGAACCTGCCGGCCTGTGGCGCTGCTGCCGGCAGAGGGCAAGGCGCGGCAGGGTCCCAGGGACAGTGAGATTCAGACTGCAGCTGGCTCTTCTGCGCCTCCCTGGTGTCTGCTCCTGTGTGCCTCGCGGGAGCAGTGCACAGGGCTGGCCGGCCCAGGCTCTGCCTTCTCCAGGCCTGTCTCGGGACTCCCGTGCAGCACCGTTGTGCTGCACGTGGGCACTGCTCCCTCCTTCCAGCTTCAGCCAGGCGTAGCCTTTCTCAGCCTTCGCAGGCCACTGGTCGAGGGGAGGCCAGGGAGCCGCACTTGTTCCCATTGGAAGCTGCTCGTGGGCTTTGGCGAGGCGGGTCCTACGGTAACGCGTGGGCCTGTGCCCGGCCTCCGGCTGTTCCGGTGCCTTTGCGGGCTGTGCTCTGGCGGGTTCTTGCCGTTCAGAGCCGAGCTCTGCAGCGTTGCACGTAACTGACCTGATGGAGCTGTGCCGATGGCCTCGTCCTCATCCTCCAGTGCGGGGTTCCCCGAGTGTCTTCCTTGTTGCTCCGTGGATGCCCTGAGGGTGCGTCGGGGATGGCACGAGTGTGGGGTGCTTGCCGGGGGTGGGGCACAGGACTGCCTTTGTGGTTCACTTGTGGAGCTGCGAACCCTGCAGGAGAGGGCATGGGCTCCGCGCAGGAAATCGTGTGAGGATCCGGGCCCGGAGTGCCTAGGGACAGCGGGGACTGTGGGAGGCAGCCCACGGGGAGCTGCTGTGTGTCTGGAGCGGCCGGGCCACGCGTGCACAAGCTGTCTCGGGTGCTGCTGTCCACAGGCAGTGTTAGGTGTCGGAGGATCTTGAATGCTGCGTGGGTTTTCAGAAGCCTCTGAAGCGAGGGAAAGTTCTCAAGAATCAGGAGCCCGGAGATTCAGGGTTGTAGCAGAGTGGGTGACGCCACTCCTGCATACATTTTGTTTATTTTAAAGGTGATTTGTTTGGAAGAGTTACAGAGGTAGGGGCGGGGGGAATTGATCTGCATCTACTGGTTACTCCCCAGATGTCCACAACGGCTGGGGCTGGGCCAGCCCAAGCCAGGAACTTCCTCCAGGTCTCCCACGTGGGTGCAGCGGTGCAGATAGTGCGGCCATCCTCTGCTGCTTTCCCGGGCAATAGCAGGAGCTGGACTGGAAGTGGAGCAGCTGGGTCTTGAACCGGCGCCCATATGAGATGCCAGCACTGCAGACAGCAGCTTAACCCACTGTGCCTCGGTGGCAGCACTTGTCTGTCTGTTTTTTAAGAGCTTGTAGTTCTAAGCTGTTGAAGTTAAATAATTTTTCAACACTTACAACGATGTGGTATTTATGTTGCAGGTACTGTTATGCTTTCCCCCACGTTTTGGTAAAGCAAAAGAGGGTTTTCTTGAATTATATTAGAAAACTAAAAAACAATCATCAAAGCTTAAAAAATTGTCAAGGCATTAGGCCTTCTTTTCTAGCGTACTTCTCAGGGCTGTAGTCAGACCTGGCAGGTGAGGGTGATGGATGCCCCTTCCGTGTCGTGACACGTCCCGGCAGCGCGTTGCCTGGGTGCTGTGCTGCTGTGGCACTCCTGGTGATGGCTGCTTCTGTTGGAGGTGAGGTTGGTGGAGGGACTGGCCCTGTGCGGCCCCTCCTATTTCTCTGTGCCGTGGTCTTGCTCATGGGCAGGTCTGGGGAGAGAAGGAGCCAGGTCCAGGAAGGTTTCACCAGTCGCAGGTCTGTGTCAGGGAGGCCTTGACGGGCGTAGCCGGGGCTGGTCAGGGCAGCTGGATCAGCAGCAGGCGGCATTTTCTTCTGGAGCCTCTGGGCTGCGTTGGGCTTGTGCAGTGTCCTGGCTGCATGTTCACTGCGATCGGAAAAGGGGGGTCGACTGCAGGTGCAGATCTTTTGGGAGAGACCCGGGGGTGGGCTGAGAGTGGTCAGTGAGGTCTGTGTGTCCTACTGGGGGTGACCTCACTAACTGGTGTGGGGGTGGCAGAAGCACCTGCGTGCTTCTTCATGAAGGGGTGGCTCCTGCGAGCCCTAAGGCCTGCCCGGTGCTCTGCCTGGCTCTGGGAGGTGCTGTACAGGTGTCGTTTGTACAGCATCTGTCTGGGTGACTGGTATTCGAGGGGGGAACAGACAGTAGTGGGCTCTGGGCTGGAGAAGTTTTCACCCTGAGTGCTGGGAAGCAGTGACCTCCCTGGACTGTACCCCTTTGAGATTCCTGATGGAGACCAGCAAGGCCGGCTGCTTCAGGTGTGTGTGTGTGTGTGTGTGTGTGTGTGTGTGTGAATTTTAGAGATAGAAGTTAAAAAGCTATGTCCTTGAAAATGTTAATTAATTAGGATAGGAAATAATTCCTCTTCTTGTTAGGGTGATCACCATGGCTTAACCTTTTAAAGCCAGCAGGTCACCTGAGCCATCAGTGCACAGCAGTTTCCAGTAGAAATTTAGCTTTTCACAGTGAGGTAAACATTTG